AAGGTCGGAGGTGGAATGTTATAAGTGTGGCAAACACGGCCACTACGCAAAGGAATGTGGACAAGGACGAGGTGATCGTAGCCAAGGAAGTCAGCCAAGGTCGGAGGTGAAATGTTATAAGTGTGGCAAACACGGCCACTACGCAAAGGAATGCAGATCGGAAAATTGCTACAATTGTGACAAATACGGTCACATAGCAAAGTATTGCCGAGCTAAAAGTCGAAGTGAAAACAAAGAGAAGAATCTTCTCACAAAAGAAGAGGACGAGGAAGCAGGAATTTTGATGATGATGTAGAGCTCGGAGACCAAGCTACGTCCAAGCTGTGCCTCCGAGGTTGAGCTAAACTTGAGTTGCGTAGAGAGATCAGTAGTTGAGCTTCCAAGCTCAGATGAGAAGTCAGAGGCTGAGCTTGATTCGGGTTGCTTAAACAACTTAGTCTGGTATTTGGACACTGGAGCGAGCAATCATATGTGTGGAGAAGAAAGTTTCTTCAACGAACTCATCAAGGTGAAGGCTGGATTCGTGTCATTTGGGGATGATTCCAAGGTGGCGATAAAAGGGCATGGAACCATCAAGCATATGCAGAAGGATGGACGAGTTGGAGAAATAAGGAATTTCTACTACGTTCTCGAGCTTAAGAGCAACATCTTAAGCATGGGGTAGATGATGAAGAAAGGCAACTCGGTTCTGATGAAGGATCGAGTACTTTATTTGAAGGACAAGCATGATCGTTTAGTAGCCCGAGTAGAGATGAAAAAGAATCGGATGTATAGACTGGAGCTGAACATCATTCAAAATAAGTGCTTAAAGCTGGACGTGAAGGATGAAGCCATGATGTGGCATTTTTGTTTTGGGAATTTAAACTTTGGAGGCTTGGCCTACAAATTGTACAACCCTATTACAGGCAAAATTCTGGTAAGTCGAGATGTCCAGGTAGATGAGGAAAGTGAGCGGAGCTGGAATAACTCTGAAAAGACTTTGGGGAGCTCGAACTCTAAGAGAAAGAGCTCAGAGATGATAGGAAGAAGCTCGGATAGGACCAATGAGCATTCCGAGGAAGATGATGAACCTGAGCAGCTTAGAACTCGGACCAAGACATCTACAATTCCACTGACGAGTTACATGTAGTATGTCTATTGACAGGAACAGAAGATATAAAATTTGAAGAGGTTGTACTTGATGAGAGATGGAAGAAAGCAATGGATGAGGAGATCGGATCAATTGAGAAGAGTGAGACGCGGAAGCTGATAGATTTATCCACAGGAACTCGACCAATTGGTTTGAAGTGGGTATACAAAAGGAAGACAAATGAAAATGGCGAAGTGGAGCGTTACAAAGCTCGTCTTGTGGTGAAGGGTTATAGATAGCAGAAAGCATTAAAGAGGATACTAAGGTATGTGAAAGGGACGATGTCATTTGGACTGTGTTTCACTAAGTCGGACAACTACCGACTTATTGGATACTTGGACAGTGATTGGTGTGGAGATGTGGATGATCAGAAAAGCACAGCTGGTTACGTATTCTTCATGGGAAACACGGCTTTCACTTGGCTATCAAAGAAACAACCAATTGTAGCTCTATCAACGTGTGAAGCCAAGTATGTAGCAGCATCTTGGAGTGTCCAACATGCAGTTTGGCTTGGAACCTTGCTAAGCAAACTGGAGATTATGAAAGCTAAGAAAATATTGATCCGAGTAGATAATAGGTCGGCAATCGAGTTAGCCAAGAATCCAATCAATCACGAAAGAAGTAAGCACATTGACGTCCGATTTCATTTCATCAAGGAGAAAGTGAAAGAAGGAAGCGTGGAGCTCGAACACGTAGGAAGTAAAGAGCAAGTAGCTGATATCTTTACAAAACCATTGCCTGCAACAACATTTTAGGAGCTAAGGAAGTTACTTGGAATGAAAGAAGAAGGAGAAATTTAAGCTTATGGGGGAGTTTTGTTAGATAATCATAAATTTTAGAGATATCAGAGTTAGTTATTCTAAACTGTTTGTTTAGTCTGTTGAGTTATTTGTTTCATTTTAGATAAAAATAGTTTTTGATAAGATTTGTTTTGATAAGATATTTTGTTATCGTCTTGTTAATTCGGTACATTGTACAATGGCTATTTAAAGGTTATTTCTTATTCAATAAAAATACAGTGAATTACTACGTTCACACAATTTTTAGTATTACTCGTCTCTTATTATTCTACAATGGCTAGTATAATGCTAAAGAAGGAATAGTTTGCTAATTCTCTACCATTTTCATTCATTTCTGCATTGTTTATACAAAATGTTGGTAATTCTTCGCTCAACTCAATTTAGGGAAAAGGAATCTAGTACAATGAAAATAATGCATGTGACATTTACAACCAAATAATATCGTAATAGTATCTTATCCATCCTGAGTGACTATAACCAATTACACAAAGTGAGGAAGGTATGTGGGCCTCTTGATTCTCCTCTTGGGCCTAGTAACTAGGTATGGATTGTTATCAGAATCCTACATCTATTATGTTAGATTTAACTTCTTTCCACAATTCTAGCTTCTTGCAAGTCGGTCTTATCACCATGTCCCTATCATCCTAGGAATTAAGTTTTGTCCCTTTTTTCACTTCTTAAAGTGCTTTGAGATTTGTTGCCTGTCATGGACCTTTGATTGCATGGAGCTTTTAAGATTAGTTATCTAAAGTCATTTTATTTATATGATATTTCTTTATTATCCTCATAATCACCATCTTCTTGTTCCGTAATTGTTTCATCTTAGTCCTTTTCTTGGTCTCGCATTTCTTTTTCAAGTTTTATTGGATCCAACTGTCTAGTTTCCCAAATCTAAGGAGCTTGTACAATAATTGTTGTTCTCCGATAAAATTTAGAGTTATTAATGGCAATAAAAACATATGTGATCTGTATAGAGGATAAATAGTTTGTTGTTAAAGGATAATGATACAACATTATCACAATGTATTTGGAAAGGAAGACGTATCTCTAGAAAACTAGAGATAGGTGGATAAAGATATTTTAATTCAAAAAAGTGATAAAAAAAAATTGTATAAAAAATTTACACTTTTTCAAATAGTGAAGTAACAAACCACAAATAGTACTTTACGAGGAGTCAAAAGGTTAAACTCATAAAATTATATAGTGGTTCGTAGAAGTAGTAAGTTTATGAGCTTTTAAGGTTTGATCTATCAAGGGAAACAATTAAACACACAACTTCATTGTTAAAAATCATAAATGAAGTTGAACAACATCTATTAGAGTTAATACCTTATAGTGTGTTTGAATGGAGAATTTAAATAGACTAATTCATTTGTTTGAAGAATTTTAAATTCTTTGAGGTGAAATACCTTGTTTGGATGGAGAATTTATAAAGAATTTGAAATTCAAGCATGTATGAAATTTCTTGAAATAGAATTTCAAATACTTCTAAAAAAGTAAGAATTTGAAATTTTTCATATTTTTTTTCTTATTTCACTTATATATTTTATCTTATTTCTTATCTCTTCATGTTTTTAATTATTGAATATTCAAAAACATTTTTAAAATTATTAAATATTATCTAATATTAATTTTAAAATTATTAAATATAAAAAATTAGCTAATATTTATTTTTATATAATTTAATTTAAAAATTTTAACATATAAATATATTTTGAAAATTAATTTTATCATGGTAGAATCAAATTATATTTTCTCTTAAAAAATTTCTGTTATCATTAAAATATGAAAGTTTGAGAAATTTGAGATTGTCTTTTAAATTTAATTAAAGTTATAGAAATTAAAAGATAAAAAAGAAGAAAACTAGAGAAGATAAGAGAAAAAATGAATTTGATTGATCCGAGAAGAGAAATAAAAAGAAGGTATAGAAAAAAGGAAGATCAATTCACTTGCCATTAAAAAGTTTTCTTTGGAAAATAAAAAAAGAAAGTTAATAGGGTGATTTTTCAAATCTTTGAACAACTAAAAAATCATTCTTCACAGTTTTATAATTAAGTTAATTTAAAATTTTATTCTTAATAAATAACATTTATTTTTCTGAATTCATTCATTATTTGAAGAATATTATTAACTATACTTATAATAATTGTGATTATCAAAATTAGTTTATGAAAATAAAAATATTTAATTAAACACCTGTATTTTAAAGCATAAAATGTATAACAGGATAAAAATGTTTAGCTGAAACTAAATTCAAATTTAAAAATAAAAACTAAAAATTAAAATTAAAATAAAACCCTTTATTTAAAAAAATTAATAAAACATATATTATTTCTTAATCCAAATAAATACACTAATTCAAATACATTAGATTTTATTTTAATTTTGATTTTAAAAATTTTAATTAATATTTGTGGCGGTAATTTTAAATTATTGACTTATCTTATTAATGATATTGAAAGTTTAGAAAAGAAATAAACTCCCGCCTTTGGATCCCTGTAAAAGTAAGAAGGTGAAGGCAAGGAAAGGCACCATACATCATATAAATAGAATTAGAAGAATAAAATCTAATAATTTTTCGTAATGTCGTAATGTCTCAAAAACAGGATTGATATTGATAATATTATAATTTTTTCAATTATTATAAATTATAAAAAATTATTTTATAATGAATATTGTATAAATAGCAATTATTTTGTCATTTCGAAAAGGTATAAACCTTTCTAAAGTGGATAAACATTTGCTGTGTGTTTTCATTCTATTAGCAATCTTTAAATTGTATTGTGTGTAAATGAATAAGTAGTAATTTGCTTGAATCTTTAAACAAAGACCGTTAGTCCAACTTAAAATACCATGCTAACAAGGAACAAAAACGAAAAAATGAGAAAGAATACTTCTAATTTAATTTTGAAATTTATATCATAATTATCATAAATTGTACCACTCACTAAAATATGAACTTTGAAAATTGAAAATAAGTGCAAATAATGTGGGTGCTTACCGTAATATTTCACATCATTTAATCAACGATAAATTTGTTAACTTTTATCATAATTATATTAAAAAGGGAGTTACTACAATATCTTTGTAAATTAAGATGATTTGGTACAGTCAACTTTTCAAACCAATAAAAATAACTTAAAATTGTTTTTTTTTTCTTTTCACTTTCACTTCTTTTTTCCCCTTACACTAAGTGATGTGTTATTGCTACATATTCAACTATGAAAACATTGTTCAATACATTAATGCATTTATCAATTGAAGTGGGATGGACACATTCCATACATAAGAGATTCGGTCTCCTTTCTGCGAACACAAACAAAATATGTAAAAACTTTTATATCTATTTTGGGAATCAGTGGTAAACTACGGATATTTGTCAGACATAAATAAGAACATTGCTTAATATATACTTACTTTTTTGCTACCATAAAATTGTATAATGTTTGTCTAGCTGGTTAGAAGTTGTGTCTCCTGCGAAGGAAAAAAAAAGAAAGAAAAAGAAATATAAGTAGAATATAGCATTTGAATAGAATGAAAAGAAAAATTCATGATCATGAATTAATTAAACTTGGGCTGCTGTAGTGGAGTTTCATCCCTGGAATGTATTTGATTTCCATAATATTTGTGGTTTAGTAGTTCAATTAAAATGGTAAAGATCAATGACCATACCCATCAGCCATCATGCATCCTTCAAACTTCTCGAGTCGTTGTTTCTAATCAAAATAAATTGCTAGGACTAACAAATAATATATTGTGTCTGTATTACTTATATTAGTCTATATAAATATGTTAAAAAGTGTCTTAGAAAAAGAAGTTCTTGCTCAATGTATTTTGTGATTTGTATAAGTTGTTATGATAGAAATTACAATTTGGTTTTTCATCCGAAGTTCCGAACAAAACAACAAATATAGGACACTTGAATTCACACTCGGTCAATAAAAAATGTCACTTATGTTATATTGTTTGACTAGAACAAGGATTTTTTTTTTAATATAGTATGCTATTAATATTTAGACAGAAAAGGAAATTAATTAGTTAAGTAATTGGAATACATATTATATTCAAAGATAGAAAGTATATTGTTCTCACACATATTTGCCAAAACAAAAATCATGGTTTCTTTCAAGACAACTTTATCATAATTTTAAGAGTTAAATTTATATTGTGTAATGAGATCTATCCTAAGATAATATTTACCTGGTATTCACTATAATACTAAGCAAAATCTTGACTCTTATTATGAGGAGTCGAAAAAAAACTGCAAAATAGAAAAAGGCCATTAGTTATTTCTACAATACGTTTAACGATACACCAATATTCATTGAAAAGAAATAATATATGTTTAACTAACCCATGACTTGTTGAATGCAATAACTAAGTTAAACATAAAGAAAAGGACAAAGCAGGAGAATTACCTGGTGATCATCCTTCGTCACTAAATCCATCTATCGTCAACTTTAATGCCAGGGATATGAGAAATTTTAGGCCAAATTTGACGGTGCTTCACGCGTTTTTGCAGCAAAGGACATGAAATAATTTGTAATTTTATTAGAGAGAGAGGCAACCTTTCACCTGCCATATTCTCCAGCTTTTGACAATCTTCAATTTGTAACTTTTGGAGGGATGTGAGATGGAGAAGCCCCTTGCAGTCCAACATCTCTAGACTTGACAAGTTTTGTAAATACAGAGACGTAAGGGAGAGAGGCAACAAACCCTCCTTTGGGAAGGACTTTATGCCATCACACGGACCACCGATGATGAGATCGGTAAGCATGTCCATCGATGGCCATGCTAGGCCGCTCACTAGTTTCTCACAATTGGAAATCCAAATCCTACTCAAGTTAGGTGGCATACCCCCTTCAGGAAACGACTCAATTTCCGGGCAGTTGCTTATATAAATATGCTCTAACTTTGGAAGAAGAGCACTCATCTGAGTAGGCAACGACTTCAACTTGTCGCAAAATCCAACACTGAAAGAAGTCAAATTGGGCGCAGGAAATCCTTCTCTTGGGAATGAAACAAAGTTAGGGCAATGGCGAATCACAAAATAACTTAGATTCTTAGGTGACTCTGACACTGAAACCAAGAGAGATTCCATATTTTCACACCCATCGATTATGAGTGTTTTGAGATTTGGAAAGGTAATCAATGGAAGAGATGTGAGCGAGTCACAACTGTTGTATACAGTTAGTGATTCTAGCAACTCGTGCTTCTGTTGGGACGGGAACCCTAATTTCTTAATATGATAGATACTCAGAGACTTGAGCGATGCAGGTAAACGACCACCTGGAAATGATATGGCTGAGGAACTATCACTTAATGATAAATAATGGAGAGAAGTTGGTTGGACGTCAGTGATGGCCTCCATCATGGACTCCACCATTGGGCTTCCTTTTATTTCTATAAATTCCACCGAAGGTGGAAACACATCCAGGGCTACTTTATTGCTTTTAACAATCTCTAAATTTCGCAGGACGGGAGCCCTTGGAAGAGTAGACACAAGCTGCTCGCAATTACAAATCTGAAGGCATTCCAGAGCAGGAAGGTGATTTGGCAAATCTCCCCTTAGTTTGGGGCAATCAGATATATTGAGATCCTTAAGGAGAGGAAAAGCACACGACTCAAAAGAACACCACATCTCCCAACAAGGCAGGTTAGCAATTCTAAGTGATTCTAATGCTGGCAGGTGATTTGGCAAATCTCCCCGTAGTTTAGGACAATCACTAATAACAAGACTCCTGGGGGAAGGAAAAGCATCTGACTCAAAGGAACTCCACACTTCCCAACAATGCATTCTATAAATGTGTATAACTTCAAGGGATTGAAAGGATTTCACAGAACAAGAATTTCCATTCTTGTAAAAACCTGAATCAATAGTCTTCACCGAATTCAATCTTGAAATATGGAGGCTTTTGAGAGATGGTAATTGCCCAAGTGAAGGAAGCATACAACAGTTCTCACAATCATTTAACTGTAGATATGTCATATTATGGAAAAAACAATTTCCCACCCAATCCGGAAATCTAGTTCCTTGATAACCACTTATTGATAGAGATTTCAGCTCTTGGTGAGGTTGTAACTTGCAGAGTACATCTGTTTCAATTTGGAACTGGCTACTATTGTCGTTAGATTCAGACCACTCCAAGGATAATTTGTCAACGTACTTCTTATCCATTATCTTAGCCTCCATTGCTTCATCACTTGAGGTAACATTCTCCAAATTTCTAATCATAAGCCAACCATGAAGGGTTGAAAGTCCTCCCAATTCTTTGATCCCATTCTCTATATGCTTGCCCACAATAAAAAAATCTAATTGTTGTAAGTGGTTTAATTTTCCCATTCCTCTAGGCATCTCTTTTAAAGGAACACCATATATATCAAGATAACGCAAGTTTACAAGATTCTGCATGCCAGTGGGCAACTTAGTCAACTTGGTGCAATTATGCAACTTCAAGGTTTCTAGATTGTATAAATTACACAACGACTTCGGTAGTGAAGAAACACTTGTACCAGACAGATTTAAATAACGCAAATGGATCAATTTACCTATTGAATCAGGCAAAGCATCCAAACTTTGGAAGTCACGGAATGATAAAACTCTCAAGTACAAAAGTTTTGACATTATAATACATGGTGCCTTCTCATTATAGAATGGAGCAACTTCAAAATGGATGATAGACAAGAAAGTTCTCAAAAATTTTATTCCATCAAAGTTGTCCAAGACAGCATGACTGAATTTGGTAAATGACAAATGACGAATCTTGACATCAATCTTGGTTTCTTTTCCCATATCTTCTGATCTCAAATAGAATTCTCGTCCAAGGGATGTTGCTAGGTCATGCATAAGGTCATGCATCACAAAATCATTGTTCCATGTCCCATTTCTTGAATGTTGAAAAAATGATCTTGAAACTAGATAATCAAAATACTCGCAACCAACTTCTTCTAATGATTTTCCTGTTTTTCCTGGCTTTAAAAGATCTTCAGCCATCCACAATAAGATTAATTCATTTTTCTGAAATTCATAATCCTTAGGATACAATGAACAATAAACAAAACATCGTTTTAATTGTGGAGGGAGATAATGATAACTAATTCTCAGTGCTGGAATAATGTTACACTCAAGTTCCCAAATGTCACTATTTAGTATATCATTCCAATCCCTAGCGTCATGCTTTCTTCTCAACATACCTCCAAGTGATTGTACTGCTAAAGGCAATCCCTTACACTTTGTAACAATGTCCCTTCCAATTTTTTCTAGAGTCATCGAATTCTCACTAGACTCTGGAGTAAAACATGCATGCTTTGCAAACACTAACCAGCAATCCTCATCCGACAATTGATTTAGATGATAAGCTTGAACAGTACGGACTACAGTTGCTACACTTTCATTGCGGGTTGTAACAAGAATTTTACTTCCCTTAATTCCACGTTGAAGTGGTTTCTTAAGAAGACTCCAATTAACATAATCTTGAATCCAAACATCATCCAAAACAATCAAGAACTTTTTATCTTTCAGTTTGTCCATCAAATCAAGGTGAAGTAAGTTTAGATCATTGATTTTACAAGGTTGTGCAGTAACTGCCTCAGATATAATTTTTGTGACGTTTAGAATATCAAATTCTTCAGAAACACAAACCCATGCTTTAAAATCAAATATATCCTTCAAACTGTCGTCATTGTACACCAATTGTGCCAAAGTAGTTTTTCCAACTCCACCCATGCCCACAATAGGGATGACAGACACTTCTTCACCATCACTACTATTCTCCAACAACTTGATTATGGCCTCCTTGTCATTATCCCTACCATATATGTGAGATCCATCTTCGACAGATGTTGATGGAACTTTCCATGGTACACTGTTCTCCACTGCAATCTCTTTCAGATTTAGACTCTCCTTGAGTCTTAAAACATTCTCTAATCTGACAACTATGTCTTCCAACTTAGTAATTATCTTCCTATTGGAAAAACGAGAAAAGAAGTTTCTTACCTTCTTTTGGGTGGCAGCTTTGGTAGAAACATGATCGAGCAAGTCATCAGCCTGGTAGACAAGATCTTTGAGAGTAGTGAGCCATTCGTTGACACTGGACTCTGTGATTTGTTTCTTCTCAGCATCATCAAGCACAGCTCTAACCACTCTCAGAATGGTCTGCAACTGTTGAAGCAACTTGTTGTGAAGCTTGTTTCCACGGATAAAGTTGACAACCTCAGGTGAAGCCAGCCTGTCAAAAACAACATCAAGGAAGGCAGAGAGGAACGCACCACCTACGACTGCTGTAGCCATGATCACAAGAACAAGTGATATTAAGAGTTCAATGAGAAAGCTAAGAAATTTGTTGCAATTAACTCGGTTGGTTCTTTATAGAGTTTACTTTGACTTGGTCAGTGGTGGTGGGTACCACATCACGTGCTGATGCTATACAACTGTATTGGATACTTAAAATAAAGTGATAAAGTGAGGATCTATCAACGGTTGAAATTTTTACTTAAATAATATTTTTTTTAAAAAAATTATAAAAGTATGAATTGTCCACATGTTTATTTACCAATATAGAACTGTTTATTGTTCGTGCTCAGAATTCAGTTTTCAGGCAATCGAATTCTGAGCTTTAAAATCTTATTTTTTTTTTATTTTTTCAACTCAGAATTCGATTTCCGGGAAACCGAATTCTGAGTTACTTAAAATTTTTTTTTTTCGTGTTTCGGTCCCATTTTGGGCAAATGTTGGAAGTGAAACGGCCCGTTCCGGAAGCAGAACGGGCCGTTCTGCTTAAAGACACAGAGTCCTTTTTTTAAAATTAAAATGGGTCCAGAACGGCCCGTTTCAGAATAAAAATTTTAACATTTTTTAGAATTTGGAACGGCCCTGGAACGGCCCGTTCTGGAAGACGTTCTCAGAAAGTAGAACGTGGTTCGGAACAGGCCATTCTGGTTTTGGAACGGCCCGTTCTGGGAAAACAGTAAAAAAAAATTAATTTTTTTTTAAAAAAAGATAATAAATAATATCAGTTATAAATAATATATTTAGACAATTACTTAAGATAATATCTTGCGTTTAAAACTTTTAGTGTTTTAGTCTTTAATTTTTATTTCAAAGTAATTAATGTTTTATAAATTTCAAATCTCAATAATTTCAAGTCGCAAAATATAGAATAAATATTAATTGAGATTATTTTAAACTATGCTTGACGGACGAGAAATTTCATATCAGAGAGAACACTTGGACGGTGAAGTGTGATAATTTGACCCTTAATTTTTTAAATTTACTTTATAACAAAATATATTATTTTAATAAAATTGATTGAATAGTTAAAATTTTATCCGATAATTATATTGTTGGAGAGAATATATTCCCTATAGTTCAGGGATAATTGTACGTTTTAAACGCAATATATTATCTTAAGTGATTATCTAAATATATTATTTATAACTGATATTATTTATTATCTTTTTTTTTTAAATAAAAAATTTAATTTTTTTTTTACTGTGCCCAGAACGGACCGTTCCAAAATCAGAACGGCCCGTTCCAAACCACGTTCTACTTCCTGAAAACGTCTTCCAGAACGGGTCGTTCCAGGGCCGTTCCAGATTCAAAAAAATGTTAAAATTTTTATTCTGGAACGGGTCTTTCTGGTCCCGTTTTAATTTTAAAAAAAAGGACTCTTTGTCTTTAAGCAGAACGGTCTGTTCTGCTTCCGGAACGGGTCGTTCCACTTCCGGAACGGGCCGTTCCACTTCCAACATTTGCCCAAAATGCGCCAGAAACACGAAGAAAAAAATTTTAAAATAACTCAGAATTCGGTTTCCCGGGAACCGAATTCTGAGTTGAAAAAACAAAAAAAATAAGATTCTGAGCATGAACAGTAAACAGTTCTATATTGGTAAATAAACATGCACAGTTGATACTTTTGTAAATTTTTTTTTTTTAATATTATTTAAGTAAAAATTTCATCACCGGTTAATATAAAGTTGGTCACATTTATAAAATTCATTAATTATCTCGAACAGTATAGTACGAGGCATTTAATTGACTTCACGTCCTCACGCGGTTTGTAAATTATAGATATTGCCAACCTAATATGACTTTCCTTTTATTTTCCATTAAATGCTTCATTTTCTTTTTAATAATTTATAAATTTAATGCTGAGTTCATACACAAAGACGCTGCTCCAAATTAGAAAGGTATACTGTGGATACTTTGGTTCTAAATATTCATCTCACTGTTCTCTTTTACCTGTATAAAGAATTATTTTGTTTTTCAATAATTACTTTGATCACAAACGTTTCATTTACTAGATTGCTAAACATTTTGGTAGCTTCTCTTTGTAATGTAATTTTGTCATATCAACGGCAAAACATAGACATACTCGGACAATTTCTTTTTATTGTCCATTTGTTTCAAATTTAGAAAATTTATAGATTTTAAAAATTAATTATTGTTCAAGATCATGTATCTGGGTGGATTTAGTATATAGTGAAGGCAAAAAGGTTAATGGAACTGTAATATATTTCAAGAACAATCTATCCATTATATTATTTATTGAGGCAAAGACCTCATCCAAATGATCTTCCTCTTATCATATAATAATTGCGGGGTATGTAACAGTTAAGGATGAAAACAAAATCCATACCACGGATAAAATTACTTAGATAATAAATGAATATTTAAATAGGTACTCACAAATAATTTAAATAGATATATTTGTACCCACTAATAAATGGAAACGGAGATGGATATCAAGATACTCGTCATATAGATATCCGCTAAATATTTATTGTACCAATCTAGTTGAATAAATGAACTCAATTATATACATATATTACTAAGGTGGTGCATCAAGATGAACTCGATTATAAATGTTATTGATTTAAAATACCAATCTCGACTAATAACTACAACTAGGTCAACATGCTAACTCGATACAACATCAACAAAGAGAAGTTTACAAATATGTCAAACATAATAGTCATGGAACCGATATAAACTACTAATGATAGTTAACATAAAAAAAAGTATGTATACTAGAATATAAGAAAGATTGGACAAATTAGACTAATTTGATCGTTGAAGTAGTTTTTGCAGGTAAAACACTAATTAGAATAAAAAGACAAGGAGATCTATTTCAACTTTTAAAGATAAGACAAAAGGATAATCTTATGAGATAAGTACTTCATATATGTTTATCTTGGTAAGAAGATGTATTATAATAAAATTACTTAAATTTCTTTATTAAAAATTTAAAATATATATCATATGTTAATGAAAATATAATATTACTTAAATTTCTTTTATTTAGGTTTGTGAGATTGAAATATTATAATTTTAAACTTTATTTTTTTTTGTGGAATTGAATTATTTTAGTTTAATAAGTTTTTTTTTAACTTATATGAATAAAGTACTTTAATAATTTAATTTAATTTTTAAATTGATGAATCTTGATTAATAAAAATTTGTATAATATTTGAATAATTTAAATTTTAACTTTTAAAATATTAATTTTTGAAAAAAAAAATACTTAGAATAACTAAAATTTTATTATTAAAATATTTTTTAAAATTATTTATAAAATTTGTAATAATATCTATGAATATTCGTGAATATTAAAAAAATATGGAGATACTCACTTAACAAATATCCACATAGATATGCAGATGGGTACAAAGTGAAAATTTATTTGGTAGGATAGATAACGACCCATCCCATCCTGTCAACATTCCTAACGATAGTAAAACATAATTGCATATGTGACAAGCTGAATAACCCAAAGGAAAGGGATAATATATAATAATAAGAAAGTGTGAAATTTTAATCAAAGTGATCAACTTCCCTGTACTTAACTATAGATTCTTCTTAAGACAAGGCCTTCATAGTATTAATTGTACTTAGTGATGGTGGGCAATTTAATACTAACTCAAAAATTGTTTGAAACTTGATTTAATAATTAGCTCATTAAACTTAGTTCATGAATTAATTAGTTGAACTTCAGTTAAAAATTGAGTTTGATAAATAAATGAGTCGATCTTAAATTGCATATAGTTGACTAAAGTTGTCAATTTGAGCTCCATCAGATGGGCTAGCCCGACCAACCCATAAAAAAGGTCAGGTTGGGCATTAAAAATGATGACTTAAATAGAATCAAGTCATTTTGACCTAGCTCGCTAAATTTGATAAGCCAAATGGGCTCAAGTGGGGCTAGCCTGTTAAATTAATAATTGAAATAATTTAAATTAACAATAATGCGTTATAAAATAATAGAATAAAATATAATAATACTATAACAATTATAATCTTTCACTTTTTTGTATTTACCGCTCCCATAATCTCATTGCCTCCTTGATGGCTTGACCTTGTGATTCATCGTTTCTATTTCGTTTGTTGAAAAAGACAAAGACACAATTGCTCAAACCACAAAATTACAAGATACCACTTCACTATATAAGAAATCTTCTTTCTTGTTGTCATATAAATTTTTTTTTCACTCAACTATTCAAATGTATTTACCTAGCTAATAAGTCTTTTAGTTATGGCATTTTTCCTATCTCATTTCAGTTATCATATGTTGCTTTATTGTCTGTTGTTGGTGCTCCCTTAGTTCCAACTCTTGCAAAATACCAACTATGTTAATTTTTTTAAATGTATTTTTTTTAATTAGGCCAATTTGACTTTTATGACTTGACATAAACAAGGTTGGACCAAAAAAATGGCAAGCTGAAGAAAAATATAGGTCAAGCTAACCTAATCTAACCTAAAATAATATTTAGATGATATAGACTAGGTTAGGTCAACTTGACTCGTTTGACACCTCTATAATTGATTTGTTTAATTCACGAATCAGCTTAACACACACACACACACACACACATATATATATATATATATATATATATATATAATTTACTTTCTATTTAATTTCAACTTATTAAAATTTGAAATAACTTTTTTAACATAGTTATAAATTAATAATAATATAAGAAATGGACACCTTAGAGTTTTATAGTTATGGGTTGAGTTTTTTATTATTTTGTACAAGGTAAAGTAATTTTTATTTATGCATTTAGTTATAACTATGTTTTGTTGAGATCATACCTTATAGTCTTGCAAAGAATAAATTTATTTGTCTTTCAAAAAAAAATTAAATAATTATTTTATCTAAAATCAATTAATAAATTAATTAAAAGAATTAAAATATATAACATGCAAAAAATTTAACACTTAATTCATGTAACTTGAATTAACAAGATAAACCAAGCTATTAAAAACTTGAATTGAGTTTAATTCAAACCGAGAAAAATAAAAAAATAAAAAATTCATATCAAATTCAAGTTAAACTCAAACTAAACTTATAATTATCAAGTTGAATCTAATTAAATTAAATCTCGATTCAACTCAATTCATTTTCAAACTCAAAGTAAATGTACTCCTATCATTTTTTTTATAATCATAGAACTTGTATGATTATTGATGTTTGACAATCGGTAAAAAGAAAAACCACGTACTTTAGTAGATGGAGAGATATGCTTGTTAACACCCTAGATCCCTACCCTAAAAGAGTCATGACAAAAAACATATTTAAGTGAATGGTAAGAGATTTGAAAGAAAAAAAAATTATTAGTTTAAAACTAATTTTATTACAAAAAAAAGTTTATTTGATACAATAATTTACTCTTTTTAATTCGCACATCACTTTTTACTCTTGGCATTTTTCACACATACTTACCCAACAAAAACAATACCCGCTGCAAGATTTTGATCATTAAGGCAATATGACATTAAACTTCGATCCACTTTGAATCCATTATGGCTTATGCAGTCCCACAGGTAGTCATTCTTTCGTCAAGATTGTTTCACCGCAACATTTTAATTTTTTAATAACATTTTATTTCTTATATTTATTAAAAATATTATTATATATTAAATAAATAGGTTATTTTATAACATTTTTTTTATAAAATGTTTTTATAAATAGAGTAACATTTTTTATTTAAATATTATTCTTTCTAATTATTTTTTTAAAATTAAAGTCCTATATCAAGTAAAAAAATGTTATATAGGTTATTTTACAACATTTATTTGAAAAATGTTATTACAAATAAATAACATTTTTTATCTCAACATTATTCTTTCTAATTGTTTTTAAAATCAAAGTCCTATATCGAATAAAAAAAAACATATTTTTCTCATCTCCAATTGTTACCTATAATTAAAGTCTCACATCAAATAAATGAATGACTCTTAAAGAATATATATAATCATATAGTTATATTTAAGATAAATGAATTTTGATATTTGATATATAATTAGTGGTGACTAATTAAGAATTTTTTTAACCTTCTCTTAAAGCATTCCTAGGAGTTTAGGAGCCATAAAAATATAATAATTACAATAATATCTAAGTTAAAACTAATTATCATTTTATAAAAGTTAACAAAAACTTAGTAACATCATTAAAATGTTACAAAAAATATCACTTTGATAACATTTGAAAAATATTGTCTTATTGTGTAAAAATGTTATTAAAAGTCTTTAGCAACATGAATTATACACTATTTGATAATATGTTGCAAAAATAAATTAGCAACATTTATACACAATTAAGTAACATTTTTCAAATGTTACTAAAAACTTTTTGTATTTGTAGTGTTTCTTCTCCACAACACTCTTCCTAGCTTCTTTCTTCATTTAATTCTCAACATCTTCCGTTCACACGCTTTCTCATAATCATGCACCCACTCTTCTCATTTCTTACTATAAATAGAAAGACAAAATGTCTCGACATAGGATTATTTACAAAATACTTCAATGAGTGCTAATAACAATCTAGTTTCTCACTTTAATTAGTATTACTAGAATTTATCTTATTACATGTAACTTTTCATGCGAATTTTGCATAGAAATTTGTAGGAAACATGATTCTTATGAATTTTTTTGCGAGATTTTATTCTCAATTACCACTTTTATGGATAATATGTTTTTACAAATTTTAAAATTTGCAAAAAAAAATTCTACATAATTTCTTATGAAAAATTTGCAAGAAACTTTTCTACGAATTTTTTCACAAGAAATTTGACATAAAAATTTCTTACAAAAAAAATCAAAAAAATTAATGCAAAAAGTTTCTTGTAAATTCATTATCTACATACACTTTTTTGCAAATTTAGAATCTACAAGTAATTTTTTGTACAAATTTTTTTGTTGAAATTCAAATTCACCGAAAATTTTGTCATAACTATAAGTGTCAAATTACCATTGATAATTTTTCATTCATTGTTTTTTAAATACTTCTAATGAATTCATCTAAATCATCATGAATGAATTTGCAGTGCCTTCAACGTGTGATTCTTAACCTCTTAAATTGTTAAAATGTAAATTATAATTTTAACTTAATTTTATAAAATTAACGACGGATTCTAACATGAAGTAGGGAAAAATGTCCCTCATGGATGAGGCACTAAAATAACCGGGAATAATAGGTTTTTAATAAAAATAAAAATAAAAAAAATCACAAAAATATTTGAGAGCCATGGTGGCGCTATCGCCACTGCACGTGCGACCATAGTGACGTCGCCGCTGCGTGTGCGACCACGATGATGACGTTGCTGCGCGTGCAGCCATGGTGATGACGTTGCGGCTGTCCCCTAAAGAGGAATCGTCGAAACCCTCGTTGTTCGCATTGTCGTGGAACAAATTTCGCTCTCTCCAGTTAGCCATAGCAAAATCAGATTACGAGCATAGGAAAGAAATTGGAAACCCTAGGTTCCACCTCTGCACGTGCAGCCACGGTGACGACGCCGCTGCGCATGCGACCGCGATGACAAGGCATTGTCGCTCTCCACCGAAGAGGGATCGTCGAAAACCCTCGTCGTTCGAGGGTTAGCGTCGCCGTGAAAAAAATCTCGTTCTCTCCAGTAAGCCATACCAAAATCAAATTACAAGCAGAGGAAAGAAATTGGAAACCCTAGGTTCCGCCGCTAGGCGTGTGGCCACGGTGATGTCTCTACGCGTGTGACCACGATGGTTCGACAGGGATAAGCGTAGCCACGGTGGTTTGATAGGGTTCGACAGGGATAAGCGCAACCACGGTGGTTCGACGAGGATGAGTTGAGAAAACAAATTACCGATTATGTGGATTGCCTTATCAGTTGAGAATAGTTGAGAAAATAATTGTGTACGTTGATTTTTTATTTATTAATATATCTAATGAGTAAAATTAATGATTCATCTATGAGGGACATTTTTCCGTACTTTATGTTAAAATCTGTCAAAATTAACTTATAAGATGAACGTTATTTTTACAAAAATTCTAACATGAAACAGTATAAAATGTAGTACATGCATGAAACATTAATTTTTATCATTAAATTTAATAATATAATAATAAACGGTTTAGATTTATTACCGGTAACATGAAAGAAGTAATTTTTGTATTTATCATATTACTCTCTTGTAAAACGTTCATTCTCCTCGTCACCCCTAACCTTACCCTCTGCAACGACGCCGTTTTGAACATCCGAAGCACCGACAACAACATACTCGTCGTGATCTGCAGTCAACTCCTCCACAGCAACATTAGCACTACCATCACCATTCTCCACGACGCTGTTCCGAACGGATCCTGCACCATTCTGACGTTGCCGGCAACTTCCGCGTCAGCTCCCTCCTCTTGCACTGCCGCCGACTCAGCGTCAGCAGCTTAGTTACCTTCGTACCGCACTAAAGTGATCCAATTTGTGGTTCCTCACGTTCCACCACTTCTCCGTTCATTTCTAATACTGATTGTGAAACACCATGAGCAGCAGGATGTTGAGACTCGAAATTTGAAGTGAAATATTTTATTTGCCCATTCCTAGTCGTCATGGGAAAAAAGGAAGAAATAAGAATTAGATTATTCCCTAAGAGCTTGTCCAGTACTAGAAATGCATCGCCATCTTCGACGACGGCAACTGTGCTACCTCAGGTGAAGCCAGCCTTTCAAAAAGAACATCAAGGAAGGCAGAGAGGAATGCACCACCTACGACTGCTGCAGCCATGATCTCAAGAACAAGTGATAATGAGAAAGGTAAGGAATTTGTTGGAATAAACTCGGTTAGTTCTTTATTAGGTAAACAGATCGGTCAACTCTCTTTACTTTGACTCACTCAGTGGTGGTGGGTACCACATCACATGCTCATGCTATACAACTGTATAGGATGCTTTTCTAAAGATTTTTTCCTTTTGCACCCCACAACAAGAAAAGTATAATTAGTTTTGTTAAGACATCTTTCACAATTTTATTAGTTTATTATTATTTTAATATATTATTTGGTTAAATTTTTAACTAGCTCTTTAAATTAAAAAAAGAAAAGTATAATTAAATCTTTTATCTTTTTTAATTTTATAATTTAATCTTCAAATTTAAATGTTCATTTATAATAAGTAAAATTTAACTAAATATTATTTATATTTAATATTCATACAACTTCACTAGATTATTATTTATATCATCATCTTAATTACCATTTATATTTATTGGATTTTAATCTCTACTCGTAAAAACTGTCATAATCTTTCTAGTTACAGAAATTTTGAAGTACTAAAAAAATCAATGAATAAGGATTAAATTAATAAAATCCTATATGATATATAATAATAATTTAATGAGACTGTTCAAATATAAAATTATAAATAATATTCCATCAAAATTTTATGAATTATATACGAATATCTAATCTCATAAACTAAATTATAAAAATATAATAAATAAATAAATATCCAACTGCAATTTCTTTTAATAAAAAAAAATAATTAAAAGTACACATTTTATATTAAAAAAACATTTATTTCTTAGACAGTAAATCTGAAATCCCAATTTCAAAAAAAAAAAAAAACCTTTGAATTCCTAGTACTGGTTCAGATAAAGAAAACGGAAAAAGAACAGAGAGGAACGAGCATCGTAGGTGGAAGAAGAAGAAGATATGAGAGGGGTGTTTCTACCATGGAATCCACCACGCTTCTTCCACACACACTCTCTTCCTTCCCACTCCTTCTGTCTCCACCCAAACAGGCCCTTCTTCACCCTCTCGGCTTCGGCCTCCGTGGAGTCCCCGGAGCAGCTGAGCGCGCGAGAGAGAAGGCGAGCGAGGGGCGAGAGAAGAGAGAGAAAGAGCGGCACGAACTGGAGGGAGGAGGTGGAAGAGAGGCTCATGGTGAAGCCCAAGAAGCAGAAGGGTTCGTGGATGGATGAACTCAACCTCGACAACCTCGCCAAGTTGGGTCCCCAATGGTGGGTCATTCGGGTTTCGCGAGTCATGGGTCACGACACTGCGCAACTCCTCGCTCGCTCGCTCGCTAAGAACTACCCCGACATCGAGTTTAAGGTTCTTGCTTTCTCTTCTGCTTTAAAAATCTTGTTTTGGTGACTGCTTCTTTGGTGGATAAGGAAGAATGGTTAGAATTCATGATAATTATAAGTTTATATAAATAAATAAAAATGTTAGGATCTTGTTTTAGAGAATGGCCATTTTAATTGGTTTTTGTAGCAAACAACCCCACCAGCTTAGGGGATAGAAAATAAAAATTAAATTGAGGAGTGAATGAGAAGTGATGTTTCATGTTTCATTTAAGGTTAGTTTACTTATTGATGTGGTAGTGTTTGGTTTTAGATATATGCTCCATCTGTCAATGTGAAAAGGAGATTGAAGAACGGTTCCTACTCTGTTAAACCAAAGCCACTGTTCCCAGGTTGTGTTTTCTTTAGATGTGTGATGAACAAAGAACTACATGACTTCGTAAGAGAGTATGATGGTATTGGAGGCTTTCTTGGTTCCAAGGTTGGAAACACGTAAGCATCTGCTGCTTCTACCTTTTGTCATTTAGAATTTTGTTATAAATCATTTTATGCGTAGCTGGGTTCTTGTGCAAGGCAAGATGCATAAAGGTAGTTTAGAAATTAGACGTTGAATATATGTCTTCAATTCATTAGTTATGACGAAGAGAATTGACCACAATCTGGAAAACAATTTCAGAAAGCAATGATCTGAATGAAATTTCTCGTTTTTCTTGGTTTATTTGACAGATTAAACAATGGTTGTAGTATAATTTTGTAAAGTTATACTCTACTGGATGGCAAGTTTGATGGATATACTTTCTTTGAGAACTGAGGGGTATATATAGTGGGTACTAGATTAAGTTATGATGGATTGAGTTGTTAACGTTTTCTAAGATTTCAAACAGGCAGTGTCTTTCAAGTTTGCATTTACTTTTAACATTTAAGTTTTAATTATTGATTTCAGATGCTGAGAATATCTTAAATTTGATGTCTCTAATGCATTTTTTTTCCCTGTTCCTTTTTAGCCTGAGTGAAAACTCCTAATTATTTTCACATTTGCAGAAAGAGACAGATCAATAGACCGAAGCCGGTATCTGGGAAAGATATGGAAGCAATCTTCAAACGTGCCAAAGAAGAACAAGAGAAAACTGACCAAGCTTTTGAGGAAGAAGAGAAAAATGCTGCCCTAAACTCTGAGATTAAAAATACAGAATTAGAACTCGATGATGTTGTAAATGATATTGTTGATTCTAAGCCTAAAAGGGGATCTAGAAAAACTTCTAATCAGGTCACAGTTACAGATGCATCATCTACTAGGAAAGATTATAAACTCTTTGTTCCAGGTTCCACTGTTCGAGTTGTATCTGGAACATTTTCAGGGTTTACAGGCACCCTCAAGAAGCTGAACCGAAAAACCAAAATGGTGAGTGAGCAAGCGTAAATTGACATATAGATTTCTGTTCAAGAGACACACAAGTTAATTAATTAAAGTTGCTGGAATGCCAATGTGAAATGAAAATGCCCATGAATGCTGTAAATAATATGTGAATTTTTTTCCTCCTGTGTTTGTATACTCAAATAACCTTTTTGATGCAGGCCACTGTCCATTTCACTCTATTTGGGAAAGAGAACATAGCAGACATAGACGTTAATGAAATTGCTCTAGAGACAAACTGATGCCTGTAGATTTTCTCCACTGATGGTATGCTTCACTTGTTCGGCGGTAATCATACAGCATTAGTACCTACATAACTTTAGTGGTATTAAAAAAAATGCTTTCAAGAGTTGCATTTGTGGATGAAAAATAAATGCATTCTTATATCTTACCAAGAGCTTACTTGTGTATTATGAATCATGCAAAGTTAAGGAATTTACTGTTAGTAAGCCTAGCAGGACAGGTGGAAGCTTTTTGCTGATGCATCATTCCCAAAATTGAAATCTGAGATGTATGCACCGAAGGCCTAAAATCTGAGGTTTGTAGTTGCATTATGGTATTGCTAATGCACATTTCACGACTGAATCCCTCATTCCCTCTGACTCTTTAAAAGGGGTTGATAATTTGATATCTTAAAAAAACTTGGTGATGATCGAGTTAAAAAGCATGATTTGGACATGTACACTGTTAACTGAAAATAAATTATGATGACATGACCGAGGTTTTTTATCCATTGTGTACATGTTGCTTGAATTAATTTTGGGAAAAATAAGAATAGGAATTTTTCTGAGTTCTGAGTCTTTGTAGTATTTCATTTTTAATGCCTTAGGTTTAGTGTCATTTCTAATTAATTCTTTATTTTATTAACTGATACCTGATATAATGTCTTACGTTTTACTGTATCAATTGGAAAATGAAAGAAATTAACAGATATCATCAGTTACTGGATTGTCTAATGTTGTGAACATATAATTTCTTACAAATGTTGTCTAATGTTCATTTTCTTTTACAAACGCTCGTAAGTAACATATATTCTCAAGTGAATGAAGACCGTATAATTTCTTAACATAGAAAATTTCTTAAGGTCCTTTTTAAGCAACGAACACCACTTAGTTATAACTTGAAAGATTCTGAAAATTTTTCACAACAATGAAGACTATTCGATCATAATTTCTTAACTTAGAGAAAAATTCTTGAGATCCTTTTTAAGTAACGAACACCACTCGGTTATGACTTGAAAGGTTCTTAAATTTTTTCACAACAATGAAGATTATCCGGTTATGATTTTTTAACTTAGAAAAAGTTTTTAGGATCGTTTTATAAAGTTTAATCTTCGGTCATTGAGTTTTAAACAAGAGAAAAAGCAAAGTATAGGTAAAAGAAAGAGCAGATGTTTCATTGATATGTTTGCAAAATACATTCATCTTTGTCTAAGAAATTAAAGAAACAAGTAATCAAGGAGAGGAAGGGGCGTCTGTCTAAAACATTTTCAGCATTGTCAAAGTTTTCAATATTTTCTTCCTCTTCATTGGTCTCTTTGACAACAGGAGAATTTTGGCAGGGATAAGGAGTAACATCTTCGGTGGTGACCTCATCAAGAACATCATCAAGATCAAGATATTTCGTAGAAAACCTCTCTAAGATCAAATTGAAACCTTGAAGGCACCTCAAGAAAGTGAATAGCTTGTCGAACGACATGCTTGAAGCCTTTTGCATGCTCATTATATATTTGGTAACCGGCATTGGCCTTATAAGCAGTGAAGTTAGCAAGAATTTATCTTTTTCAGCATTCACAAAATCAAACTCTCCTTTTAAAACCTTAAGCTCTTCAACCAACTTAGTCTTAACCGCATTTGCTTCTTTAAGCTCCTCCTTCAGGCTATCAACCAAATCTTGAAGCCGTTTTCAATGAACTTCAATCTTCTCATTATTGGCACGAATCTCGTGGTTGGTGGAAATGGCAAAGGCAAGGGCAATCTCCAATTTTTTTAATTTGGAGCATAACTGGTGGGTCTCTGTTATGGGTTCCATAAACAAGGTTTGAATAATTCTAAGAGATGAAACCATTAGCTCACACAAAATTAATCACTTGGTCATAGAGTTTTCTTAAGCGAGGAACTCACGACCTCGCGCTAACAGGATACCTCAGTTGAAAAGCTCTCTGGTGTTGACATTTGGGGAAAGGAAAGTGTCAACAGCAATTAAAAGAGGTATGGGATGAGTCCCCACATAAGAAGACAATTTCTTTTCTTTCTTTCTCCACCTCAATCTCAGGGCGTTTAATGACTTTGTGCTTAGGGTTTTTCTTCACATTACCATTCCCCTTAGGATTCTTCTCTGAACTTGGGGGGTAGGGTATCAAGTGGTGGGTCTTGAGGAACACTCGACATGGTTGATGCGTTCCCCCAAAAATAGTGGCAGCAATAGCAACAACCTTAGTATGGGCACGTTCCTTGCGAACTTGGTGGAAAGAAGCAACTTTGACACCAAATGAAGCCATAATACCCAAAACAAAAAAAGTCAACAATCAAAACAATGTGTAAACAAGAAATTCAAAAGAATGAAATTTACCTTCAATATTTTCTTATGGGTTTAAAAGATCTATGTAATTCAATCAAATGTCTAAAATGAAGGTTATAAGGCAAGGAGTTTTAAAAAGTCAAGTCCGAACACTCTTCAATGGTAAGATAATCAACCAAAAAAAGCTCGTCGTATCATCTTTGAATGTGAGTCCAGTAAAGAGGAAAGAGAGGTTTGCTTTGATTATAAGAAAAATGAATGAGTTGAAGGATGAATCCCAGCTTTGAAAAAACCAACTTTGAAATTTTTGTAAGAAGTATAAGATTTTAGGAGCTTTCGATTATAGTGCTGAGCTAGAGACACCCATTTGGCTTTATCATTAGGACAAAAGTAATTATGGTGGAGAAACAAATTAGACATGGGTTTGACATTAGTATATTTATATAAATACCAAAAAGTTTGCATAGTTGTCCAACTATTCGAATGAAGTTGAGGAAGTTGAGTCAGAACAACTTTACATACTCTAAGAAGAATTTGGATCTTCTCCTGTAATATTTTCTCTTTAACCTCTCTCCATCAACATTAATAATCATTGGTGTTTGAGGTGGAATTAGTTTATAGATCCTTTTTATTCGAACTAGCACGAGAACGTTTCAATTTAGGTATCTTACAGTAAATTCGTTAAACTCGCTTAAGAATGGAAATAGATGAGACAGAATTGATTAATACACGTTTGTTTCCAGATTTTCATGAATGATAATCAAATAATAATTTGCATGCATGTAGATACTTAATTGAACAGAATGAACAATAAATACATTGGCAATACAAATCATTGTCTAGTTTGCATAATGATCAAGTTACAATATTAGAATTAAACAACTTACGAACTACAAAATTAAAGAAACTACACTAATCCTAGAAAAAGAAAAAGGAATGTGATCAAGAAATCAATACCCAGCAATTCCATGCACGAAGGCCATATGCGCAGGCAGTGAGTGCTTGAGAGTGCAAGTATGATTTTTCCAACCCTTTTTGAGGGGTATGATTCTCATATTTATAGATTTTACTTGAGAGCGGTTAATCTCGTATTGATGAGTCGTGGGTGTGTAATCGCTGACCACTACACCGATTTCGTGGAATCAAGGTAACTTCTCAATAACTGTCTCCTCCACGTTGCTTGTTTCTTCGACCAAGTCTAGGTAACTACCTTAGTGTAACTGCTTAACTGCACAGAGAACTTTTCGCTTCTTTCATTTTTCGACCCATTCTCGAGTTTGTATGTTTAAGGCTTGTAATCCTTTCTTTTGGTAGGTAGCTATTTATTTATCTTTCTTTCGAGTAGATTCAAGGTGTAACTTTCGAGTGATATGGCTTTCGAGTAGCCCCAACAATTGGATATATGTAATGGCTCAAATTTAATCTTATAATTAATGTAACTTCTTAAATAATTTTTATAAGATTAAATTTAAGTCATTAGATATATTCAATGATTATTAATGTTGCTGGAGAGAGGCTGGAAAGAGAATATTGCAGGAGAGGATCCAAATTCCTCTAAGAACGCTAGTAATGAATCAATTGAAAGGGATACTAATACTAAGGTCTCTAAAAGGACAAAATACATAAAGAAAAAGTGGGTTTTGTTTTGTGGGGCCTTTTTAGCAAAGATATAATATGGGCTAGGAGATGCATTGATTTTACAACATTTAATGTATATTGGAAAAAGATCCTCTTCGACAAGCAAGGTGGAGATTTTTAGAAGAGACACAACTTTCAAGAGTTCTCGAGTCACTGAATCAAGAGTTGTAAGTAGCTACAACCTTGTTGACCCACTTAAAACTAGGGACAATTTTTGATTTTGTAGTGTCCTTAGAGGATTCAAGAGTTGGGTCCCCAAGTGGAACTAAAGACTCATTTATATTGTTGGGAGGATTGCTCTCAAAAGAGGAGGATAAATTAGAAAAAGAAGAAGAGGATGAACCATCAGAAGAAGAGTTATTCATTTTACCTTCAAATGAGCAAGAGAGTCAGAAAGGAAGTAAAGAGAGTTGTGAGCTCCAGAGTAAGCATTTTTAGTAAAATGAACTCTTATTTATAAGAGTAGAAATAGGAGAACAACTATTAGATCAAAACAAGATCAACAATTTCCAACAAACAACTCTTCATATGTTAACAAAAGCAACACTTCGTTGCAGAAAAGAAAATGAAGAGGCAAAAGTTCTTCATGATGAAAATGTGTCAACGTGGACATAATCAGAAACATTAATGAAATGTAACATTTATCGAGGAGAATTAAAGAGACCCATCGTGAGGTTTTCTTTGATTTTAGTATAAATAATAAAACCTTAAAAGTATAAGGGTATGCATACTGGTAAGATTTGATTAGGGGGTAATCGAAGACTCCTTGGATTTTTGCCAAAGACCATCTTAGTGAATACATCGAAGATATGGTAAGATGGGGCATTAAAGGTAAGTAGATGACCATTAAGCTTGCTAAATAGGCTCAGGCCCAATAAAGGTTTAATATAAATAATAACATATTAAGATGAAAAGACATTTTTAGTTCGCATTTATTAAAACATTAATTACATCATTTTGATTGAGATTGAGTAGTTACTTGAGCGTTAGAGTAGTTTTTGCAAATACTTTTTTTCCCTTCTTGGATAAGTAAGGTCAAAGACATCCACCATGTTAGAGTAGGTAAAGAAAAAGACATTTACATTCCCTCATACTAATAAGACCAAAGGCAACCATATATCGAACAAAGGATTGAAGACTTGAAGAACAAAGATTAGGAATTATAGGAAGAAGGATAAAATTACTATTATACTCGTATGCAGGTATAGGCTTATTTTTTCGAAGAAAAAAAAAACTATTTATAAGTTTTAGCTAGTTCCATAGAAAACCATTTTTTCCCCAAATAGTATTTTTTCTATAATAACAACTGAAAAGTGAGAAATAATTTTTCCTAGACAACACATTCAAATTTGAAGATGTTAAAAAACAGTTTTAAAAAAAAAAACAAATTAAAATTAAATTTCAGCATCTTTTCCAAACATGTAGTTTAATTCCTAAACATTTTTTTTCTTATAAAAATAGCTTAAATTTAGGGGGTAAAAGCCTTTCTAAACACACTGGTTAATGTTTAGCTTTTGGACAATTGGAGTCGAATACGATGTTGCTGGGTAACGAAGGTTTCTTTGCAGAAGATAAAACACAAATCAAATAAAGCTAATAACTCAAGGAAAAGGGACAAATGGGCCTACTCTCTTCACCAACCAGTGTGTGGTTGTGACCTTTGAGCCTTTTGCAATCACACATTTTCACTGTCCCGCGAAAGGCGATAGAAGGATAAGAACATACCAAATCCAAAGGGGAACCAGCATTCTCCCACGTTTCAAGTGAAACATATCAGACAAGAAGACAAAGAAGATAGGAACATTATTTCATATTTTTTTTAGTCTACATTGCAGAATAGTTTTCACTTCCAACGTTTGAGGAGAATGTGATATTTTTCATATAATTCTACTTCAACGGGTTCTCATGTTTTATTGTAATTAATATTTTAATTTGAAATTTAATAGATACATTATCGGTGTAAAAGTAACCACTGTCAAAAAGTTATTAACTAATCTTCTCAAAAAACTTGATTCGTCATTATTGGTGGGATCTCTTTTCCAAACTTTAAGATCTTACTACTACTACATTACTATTTGTACTAATCACTTGTTGGTAATTATTATTTTAACTTGGCAATTGTACTAGTTAAGTATTTATTTTTATATAATAAAAAATTATTATAATAATAATAACAAATTATATAAATTATATTTGAATTTATGATGAATATTTTTTTTGAATATAGAAAATAATTTTAATTATTAATGAATAAATTTGAAAATTTATAGAAATTTAACTCCAAGATAGATAAAAGAGGATAAATAATCATCAAAAGATGTGAAAATAAAACGATATATTTTTTTTGTTACTTAAAAAAAAGATGAATATTAAAATAAATAATCATCGCATACCGAATAAAAATTAATAATAATTTCGTATATTAAAAATATGTATTGAACATTTGTCATAAGTAATGAATAAATAGCGGTTAGTAATATCATTGCAAATGCTATTAGAAGTTATAAATTTCTGTTTCAATAAGACTAATTATGAAGAAGAAGAAAAGAAAATCGCTCATGTCTAACATTAACAATAAGAGAAGTCATAAGTAATAGATAAGATAGTGAAAACCGTGAAAAACAAAGTGGCAGATCCAAAATCTTAGGTGAATAGAGATAAAAAAATTTATAAAAAAATATTAATGGTTATCATCAAAAAAAAAAAAAATATA